CCCCAAAACCCCAAAACCCCAAAACCCCAAAACCCCAAAACCCCATGAGTGTATACAAATATTGATAAAATGAATTATATATCTTTATTTTTGAGTACCCTTTGCTTTACAAGGTTAGCCATTTGAAGGAAAGAATCATCATTGCTCGATTGACTCTTCTTGGGCTTTCTTTTTCCTAATCTCGATCTACCTGATTTAACAGAATTTGCATTAGAAGATACAGATTTTTGAGACCTGAAAGTTCCCATCCTAAGAAGGGACTTATTGTGAGATCCTTTTCTTGAAGGGCGTCCGCTTTTTCTGCTACCTGACCTACTTTCTCCAGCAAAGCTCCGATTCTCGCTGTAAGCTTCACCAAGTCTTCTCACAATGCTTCCCATTGAGACATTGCTTTTCTGTCTGACATACTTCTTTTCTTTTGGCTTGTATTCTCTGTATCGGGCAGGAAGATATTCCATATAAGGAGATTCACCATCGAGCCTGATCATTGCATTTCCTTTCGAAATTTTCCGTTTAGGGAACTTCCTCTTGGTCTGCCTCAACTCATCTTGCATTTTCTTGGTCTCAACGGCAAAGTCATGATGGTTCATACTCTTTCTATGAGTGCTATTCCCTCTCTTCAACTTCTTTCTGATATCGGCGAATCCTCTGCTTGATGCGCTTCCTTTACTATGAACTTGTTCTTGCCCAGCATGATTAATAGAGGCTCTTAAGAAGTTGTCCTTCTTGAGATTATTCCTTCGATGAGCTTCAGCATTCGTCATCTTCGCCTTGAACAATGGTTCTCCTGTCTTAAGTCCAGTTGGGCTTTCAGACAGCTTCCTTGTTGATTTCTTTGTCATTGTTGTTTTCTTCTTAATTCCATTCTTTTTATTCCAATTTGTACTTGTCTTAGATTCCATTCTTACCATAGCAACTTTAGTCGATCCATTACCTAGCGGAGAAAAAAAGTCAGACATTTTTCTTGTAATATCTCTATTGAGCCCAACTGGGATATGCTTGTTAAAAGTGGTTCTTGATACATCCATCCTACTTTTAGTAGTGAGATCTCCCTATTTTCTATTAAGCGTAAACTTACCCTATTTCTCTTGTTTTTCGAGTTGTCGTAGATATCTTCAAGCTGCTTGAGTTTGGCGTTATAGTTAGGATTCTTCTTGCGTCTTCTTCTCCTTCTTCTCTTCCGCTTTTTACCTTCAAAATCAAGGTAAGTTTCTTCCTCAAATTCTGATGAGGATTCGTCATATCGATTTTTGTGTTTATCTCCATCTTTACCTTCCTCCATTAATTGTGTAACTGCAGCAGCAGCAATTGCTCCATCTGCTAGGGCATTAAAGTCAGATCCTTCGTCAATGGATTCAAACTTATCATCTTTGTTTTGTTTTTCAAGATCATACCCGGTTTGCTCAGATTCATTTTCTTTTGAGAATTCCATTAAATCGTTCAAGTTATCATGGTCAATTCCCTTTTGATGGTCAACTCCTTTTTGATGACCAACTCCTTTATAATCAGTATCTTCAAATAAGCGAGAATTTTCTTCCTTGATGTCATCAAGAGTGCCTTTATCATCTTTATTCGACATAAGTGTTGTTGCTCCTAGCGCTCCAGCTGCTAGAGCACCACCGGCCAGAGCGGCATTTGAGCCCAAAGCTTCAAGAGATTCAAGGTCATGATTTGCAGTATCGAAACTTTCCTCAAAATCTTCTTCCATAATAGGCTCTACGCTAAAGACGCCTCCTTTACGGAATACCCTTACTACATTGTCTGCTTTCTCAGGCTCATAAGCTTGGTAAATGCTCTCAAGGAGCTTGATATTATACCTTGCGATCTTGGCAGCTTCACTTTTGCTTTCTCTCTTTTGCTCTCTTTGCGGGCGTTTGTTCATTTTCTCAAGCATTGTTTCTTGCTTAAGATTCTTCATCATCTCATCTTCTTGATGCTTGTTTTCGATCTTGGACTCTTCGCTATCACCTTCAGACTTTCTTTCCTCTTTACTATGGGATCAAGGGCAAAACGTTACCTTTCTTGGTCGAAATCGAGCTCTTGGCTCTTACTGTTTTTATCAAGCTGGTCATCACTGGCACCATGAAGATGCTTGCTTATGGAGTGATCTTTGGAGTTCGACTTGTTCAGACCTAGTTCTTCCTTGACTTCATCAATTTCTCTCATCATGATTTCCTTGGATTTCACTTTTCTTTTAATCATTGTGATCAGCGTGAGAATCAGACAGGTTAGAGGTCTTAATATTAGCACTTCAGCTAGAGAACTGAGAATTACCATTAAGAGACATGACAGTATCACCGATTGTGAGTATGTATGGTAAGTGTAGATGCATCAAAATAGTGTCAGGAAAGCAATGAATCCTAGCAAAATCATAAAAATTGTAGTGTTCCACACGCTGTTTGTTCTCTTAGATTCATCAGTTAAAACTTCTGTATCACCAATGTAAGTCTTCTGTTCATGAAATTCCTCAATATCAGACTCAGAGAGCATCGGAGCGACCTTATTACTTTTCTGAGAGGCGCTACCTGGACGAGAGTTATTTGTTAACAAGTTTCTAGCAGTATCCAATTTATTTGAAGATGTGCTCTTACTAGTCATTTCCCACTTATTCAGTGAATTCTTAGTGTCAAAATTCTGGTTAGTCTTATATTCATTATCAATCATTGGAGCAGCCTCTGACTTTTGAGTATCATTTACAACCTTCTTCTGGAGTTTCACCTCTAATTTCTTTTCAGAAAAGGCATCTTCAATGTTCTTCATATAAAGTACATGGAGTGTCTTAGTAATAACCATGATTCAGATGTGCCCTGCAACAGTTGACAGGATGAGTCCAATCATAAAAGTTGACATAGAAATTCCTTTATTGGCCTTTTCATATTTCACCAACACAGCTATGATCAGATTGACTATAAGCCAAATTCATACAATCCCGGTGAGGTTTATAAAATGATAGAATCTACTCAGAGGTTTAAGAAGGTTGAAGTTCTTAGCATGGACTTCATCCTCACTCTCTTCAGAGATCTCTTCCTTCTTCTGTCATCTCTTAAAGCACTTGGCTATCTCTAGATAGACCCAAATAGCATAATGGAAGTATTTGTCACAAGTGACCCAGTAGACCGTGGTAAAGCGTAGGCTGTTCATTTTGACCACTATTTTGATCATTTCATTTAGCACAAATTGTTTGAACTCAGTGGTTGTTACATCTTTGACAACCACAGAGTCATTATCTTTCTTTTTCTTCTTCTTGCTTCTAATTTCGGCTCTTCTTTGAATAACCTATGTGACAGTTATGGTTTGTGAAGAAGTTGAAAATAATGTGGGCAAACATGAATGGAAACTATATTGGTCTAGAAACTTCACAAGAAACTTGATCAGCTGAAAGGGACTGCAGAGTAAGCTGATTTTAGCCAAATCAATGCGAAATGTTTTCTATTAGCCTGATAAGACGAAGCAAATAGACTTTTTATCTAATTTTTTGCAAATATCGACATTATGTTTTCTATTATTGAAATATTCAGAAGGCAATGACAATCTTCAACAATACTCGCTATAACTTACTCTGATTTTATAAGTCTGCGTTCTCCAGTGTCTCATATTCAGAACCAGGAATACAATAAAAGCTGCGAGAATAGCTATTGCGAGGAAAATAGTGAGTATTCCCATGAAGGATTTATCTGTCACATCATTGCCGTCACTCATTTTATTTTTTGCAAAAATTATGAAATTTCATTGCTAATTATATGATATGGGGTTTTGGGGTTTTGGGGTTTTGGGG